ACCACAGTCATTATCAAAGCATTTTTTCCCTGTAATTCCTTGATAAGAGCTCCTCTTTCACCCTCACTTCCAGATGCTCTTATTCTAATCGTTATCGCTATAGATTTATCAATCCGTGGTTTCCTACAGCAAAAGTAGGAAGACATAACAAAAATTCAAGATGGCTACCCACAATGACAAAATACATCAGAGTTAAACCCAAAATGCATGTGAATATATGTAATATATATTGTCTAGTTATTAATTTGATTTTTTTTAAAACTAATGGCTGGTGTCTCCCACTTAGTCTTGTAGATTCTAACATGTTTCTATTCCTAGCATGGGTCCTTGATCACAGCAGTGATAATAGTTGTTGCATATAGTGCCTGCATTGATATCTTTGGTGGGCATTACCTTCCTGCACCTTATCCTGTGAGCTGAGTGGCATCCTTGGTTTACAAGCCATAGAACTGGTGGGGAGGGGTCATGTGGGTTGTGGATTCAGTTCTATGTGGATCCCAAGCCCATCATCACCCGACCTCTCCGTTTGTCTCCCCTTACACAAGCTTTTTAGTGGTAGATAACGGGAATAAGTAAATGGGACAGGAGAAGTGAGTAGCCAGAAGCAGGTTAGTTTCTCCAATGATGCGGTCACAGCAGCTCTTTTATTTTACCGCCATAGGCAGTTAAAAATAGGATTTATAACTTTCTCCACTTTGAGAAGATTCTTGTTTTTTCTGCCAGCCTGGTAGAACTGTGACAAAATGTAGATTGCCATCTTACTCCTTAGCTCATTGACTTCTGCTCTTACCTTCCCACCCCCGTCTTCTCTTGTCACTTCAATAGTGGCAGCTTTGACCAGGAAACGTGACAGTGTTGATATGATTTAAGGATTATGCTGCTCTCCTTGGCCTATGAGAAACCATGTACAAGCACTATTTTTTAGACCTAGTTTGAGCTGCATTTGATTACACACTAGCAATTTGGTGATTTAAAAAAATGGGTCTCTATATTTGTTTTTGTGTACATTGTCTGTCAGTGCACTGTGCCCAAAGTGCCAGGTTATCCAGGGCAGAGCATCCAGCCTTACATAGGAACCCATTTCACCCATTAGGTTAATGTTGGGATCTGTTTTTAGAAATGTGTTGATAGAAGTTGTTGGTAGGTGTCATTATGGTGGCTTTGTGTATCACAGCAAACTTGTATGGGTCCTGTGTCATCTGCATGATAACACAGTGAACAGCCTGTGAGAGCTGTAACTGGATAGGACAGATTGGACTCTGAAAGTTTTCCACCGCTGACGGGGTGAAGCCGTAACCACTTTTCTGTCACCCTTAGTCACAAATATCTTGAGTTTTCCTTTTCTGATAAGTATCCACCTCACACAGATGGATTCTGGCTTTTCCAGGTTTCACTGGCTGGTATATTTGTGTCCATTGTTGTGGTTGTTGTGTTATTCCACTTTATTGAGGGTTTCCCTCGTTTTTATTGGTACTGGTTTACCAAACCTGATGTCTTAATCTGGCATTGGTAATAGTAGGAACCATGCATTTAGCAATACCGGTGATGACTGAGGACACTGAGTGCCTGCTAGTTTTCAAAACGTTTCAGACACGAACTCATTACTCTGCAACGTTCTGGTAAGGCCAGTAATATTGTCACCTCTAGTCTACTGATGAGTAATTAAGTGAGGCACCAAGGGAAAAGTCATTTGCTCAGGGTCACCACTACACTTGATCGATAGTTTTGCCTGGGATTGAATTGCCTGTTGGCATTGTTTTCTGCAGCACTTTGAAGGGTTTCATGTAGTTTTCAGTGTGCCATGCTTAAGTCCACAGCTGTTCTTTGCAGGTTTGTTCACCCCACTCCACCCTTTAAACTAGTAGGAAGTTTGTCCCCAACGTGGTGGACTTTCATAGTCATCTGCCTTGGTGGTGTT